CCCAAAAGTCTGCCTGATGCTACCAACCCCAGCCAATAATCATAGCTGCTCATTTTTATTTAGCACAAAAATCTGCAGGTTGCCCTGAGTTTTTCGATGCCTTGTGTTCAAAATGGCTGACTAAAAATACTGGCGACAGGATAGAAATTACTCCATTTTTAAACTGCAGCCAAACATAATTCATAGCAAGACCCACCTGAAAGTAATTAAAATCTTTGAAATAAGGCTGTAAAGATTTTTAAAAAGGCATATAGAGGATGAACATAACAACCTGTGCCCAGAAATCAATCTTGACCAGAGGCACTCTTGGGGGGGTCTCTCTTCAGAATCAGGATGAGACACCACCAGGTGATCCCACAGTTGTGGCGCTAATTGGGAATTTTTAAAAAAATTGTATTAAAAAGCAACAATAAATTTTCTGGTTGCCGAATTCATGAAATGGATGTGGGCTCACAAAGTCCGCAAGAGCAGTCTTCGTTCGAAAGAGTTTTATCTGTTTTGTGTTACTTGGGATTAACTTGGGTGCTTCTGTGTATATATTGGCTATCAGCTGATTATTAGGAGGGGTCCCTGGTGGCCTTGGGGGGGTTTCTGAACTGTGTGAAACACCTTCAGGGCGTGATAGTGACTCACTTGCCTAAATAAGTAAAGTTCAGCTTTGTCTGGGCTAAAATTCAACCCAGCCTCAAGGTTTGTAATTGCAGGATCGCATTTATATCTGATATATACCCATGTTTCACTATGAAACTATGTGGTTGGGATTAGTTTTTGGGGAGGAAAATAAGGGGGGAAAAGTTCTGTCTCTGCCTACCAGCATCCATCGGTATTCATCTGGCTAGCATCCTGTTAGTGTGTGAGAGAGTTGAGGGCTGTTTGGAAACTGAAAGATTATTTCCTGTGTGAGCAAGGAGACAGCAAGGAGCCTGGGCGTGGCTTAGCTCAACTGTTCTGTACTAAAGCTGCTTGGTGCTCTGAAACTGAAACTCCTCTGCTTGTGTTTTGCATTTGGAAGAGATTTCTTTTCAGGTGGGGAGGGGGAGTAGAACTCCTTAGCATCAGAGCGTGTTAATAATAAATATGAAATATTAATACTCTTGATGGTCATTTGGAAAAATCCTTTCTTAGTGATCACCTAGAAGCCAAGAGGCTCATACGGGCCAAATTTCAAGTTTGTAGGCTTTACGGTTCTGGAATTTGTGTGATGATGCATGAGGGGTATTTTGCTTTTATATATATATGAATACAAGCACTGAAAAAAGTGACTTATAACAGTTTTTCATACTTATTACCTCTGCAGCATGCCCATGTTCCCATGATTAATATTCAGATGCTTGGCCACTGACTCCCATTTGTGATGGATGCAGTGTCCCTGGAGTTACTTTTGCGGCCTTCTGGCAAGCAGAGTCCATGGGGAAGCCAGATTCACTTAACAACCTTGTTACTACCGTAACAACTGCAGGAATTCACTTAACAAAACTGGCAAGGCAGTTCGGAAAATGGAGCAAAACTCAACTTTAAAAAATTCTCACTTAACAACAAAAACGTTAGGCTCCCTTGTGGTCGTAGGTTGAGGACTAATATACAGGTTGTCCTCAATTTAACAACCATTCATTTAGTGACCGAAGTTACAACGGCACTGGAAAAAGTGACAATTTTTCAAATTTGTGAATATTTCAGCATCCCTATGGTCACGTGATGGAAATTTGGACATTTGGCAACTGGCATGTACTTATGATGGTTGCAGTGTCCTGGGGGTCACATGATCCACTTTTACAATCTTCTGAGAAGGAAAGTCCATGGAAAGCCAGATTCACTTAACAACCGTGTCACTAACTTAACCACCGCCAGGATTCACTTAACAACGGTGGCAAGAAAAATCATAAATGGGGCCAAGCAAATGTCTCACTTAATAACAGAAATTTGGAGCTCAGTTGTGGTCATAAATCAAGGATTACCTGTATTGAATCTAATTTTTACAGCTAATATTATTTTCCCCTATTTTCCCAACACACACAAACATTTACTATTAAATATACAATATAGAGAAAGTCTGTTGAACTCAGATGGGCTCATTTCTGAGTAAGAGTGAACATAATTTCTCTTATTAAGCAATATACAGTATTTTATTATGAATACTAGTTGATTGTTCTTTTAATTCTGCCCAATAGCTTGTTGGAAGGAACATCCTTCTGGGTTCAGTTCCAAGTGGGGAAAAAAGACACTGGAAACATGGAGGCTGTTAGGAAAGATGGTTTAATGGTGGACAGGACCACGTGGCTCGGAGCTCCAAAGTGAAAAGGATAATCGCATGCTTCAAGGTGAAAGGAGAATGGAGGACCAAGGTGCTGAGAGACCTTTATATAGCCTCTGGTGGGACCCACCTTAGTGTTCCTGTGCTAGAAATGTATCCCATTGGCTGTCAGACTCCCAGGGGCGGGGTCTTAGCTAACTTTGTAGGCTTTGTCTGGACCACATGGCTTCACCTGAGTGCTGGCTGATGCAATCTTCCCAGGCCAGGTGGTGAGATGGACCTTTGTTATGTAGAATACTCTGGCCTCGGCCTTAATGACCCATTAGCAAAGGGGTGTGTGCTGGTGCTGAGTTTCTGCGGCTCTCTGAGGTAAGTTTCTGCTTCTGAGTTTCTACTTTTTTTAGGGGAAATATTCCGCCTTTTTAATATTTCCCAGGATATTTCATTTTTCTAGAAGCGGGCTGGGTGTTAACTTCCTGCAAGCTGATATGCAACTCCTGCACACAATTGATCAGTAAGAGAAAGGGATATTTCCTTCCTGGACACCTTATCAATGTAATTAATATATATTTTTTTATATAAAAAAGCAATTTTTTCTTCCCCATTACAGTAATTAAATCCAGTAGTTTTTATATAGTAATTAGATCTGTTAAGTTCAGGAGGAGCAGATGAAATGGCATATGATGAAACAGAGGCAAGATTTGTAGAAATATTTATCAATTTTATATAACATTAACATCAAAAAGTGATACTGGCGTTTTAAAAATGCTCGATAGAATTAATACTTTAATTCAGCACTTCGGAAATCAAGCGATCAAAAACTTTGTTCATAATTTCCCAGACTTTAAAAATAAATCCTAAAAGCGCACGAAACGATCTTTATTTGGCAGAAAGAATAAAGCCTTTTAATTACAAAACCATTAAGTTTTCCCACATTGCCCATAATGCTTGGCTTCAAGTCCTTCCTCACGCGCGTGCGCACTCATAGAAGGGCTTTTATGCGCTTGCGCAGAGCCATCTCAAGTGCTAAGTTTCTCGCGAGTGCAGAAGGTTCCCCTT